ATTCAGAACCTAGCCTTTGTGATATAAGTGACATGCCCATCGACAAAACCGACATAAAAAACATCAAACTGTACCATACTGGCTTGGCTGCAAAGAAGAGCATAGCAGATCAATCGGATTGGAATATCAATTGGCCACCTACTTCAGAAGTAATCAGTGAAGAAGAATGTGCTAAACTTGTGCCTGTAGAATTATTCAATCTTTTAGCCCTGGTAACTAATGCCACAGAAGAAGTTCCACCTTCTGACACCTTTGTGGAAGTGACTGATGAGGCAAGAGCTAAACTTGTATCTATTTGCATGGATATTATTTACCTGTCATCAAATGGACGGATACAAACACCGAAGTCTCTTGCTCTGGTCTTACATTGCGACACTTGACTGGATCAACAACAATTTCTAACCTTTTGCACAAGTTTGGACACTGTGCATCCTATGACTCTGTAGTTTGATACGAAACTGGCTTAGCAATACAGCGAATGGAAACAAATAAAACAGTCCCCAAAGGCTTTCGCCCAGGAGTATTTACTGTTGCAGTATGGGATACCATTGACGTGGATGAAGAAACTCTTACAACGCATCACGCAAACGGTATATTAGTACAACCTTCTGTCTCAGAATTTGAACAGCAAGCAACTTCTCTTAACATAAATAGGTCTCAGAGAACGCTTCAAGTAGAGCCTGTTCATATTAGAGAGTTTTAGATTCATGTTTACGGCAAACGTCAAACCGCTAACGAAGTTTTTGATTTTACAAGTCTATTATAACAGCTTTTACACCAGTTTTGAAATATAAACCATTATTAAACTTGTGCTCTTTGGCAATGATTTAAAAGAAAGCAAATTAACCACTAGTCACGTATTCACGAAAGCAGTAAATTATGATTTGGCGTTTGAAGTTTACGTTTGGCGTATAAATTTCATGCTTTAACGACTATACAAGCCCTCATAGCAGTCAAGCATGAAATTTATACGCCAAACGTAAACTTCAAACGCCAAATCATAATTTAGTGCTTTCGCGAATACGTGACTAGTGGTTAATTTGCTTTCTTATAAATCATTGCTAAAGAGCACAAGTTTAATAATTGTTTATATTTCAAAACTGGTGTAAAAGCTGTTATAATAGACTTGTAAAATCAAAAACTTCGTTAGCGGTTTGACGTTTGCTGTAAACGTTAATCTAAAACTCTCTATTGATCATTACCGGCTTACATCTCGTGAAAGTCCTCAAGATTTATCATGTGAGATATCTATTGGTACATCTACCATTAAGACAAATCGAATTGTTGCTGACCAAAGGGAAGATTTTGGATTTATAATGATTAAGTACTTAAATCAAACCACTCATCTTCTGCCTGGTTGGACTGGATACAATCAACTTCTGCAGCATCATTCCATACTGCAAAAGTCTGCTATTCATTACTTGCCAGTGATTGAAGCATCTCCCACGGAGTATTCAACTGTGAACATGATTCTTACTAACAGTGTTAAACTGGCAAATCAATTGCAGCTAGAGTCCATGGTTGTCGTCTTCGACCAAGCCATTCATGCGAAAGCTCAGATAATCAGGTGGAAAGATCCAGCGTTAACAAGCAAACTGGTAATTAGATTGGGAGAATTCCATACCATGATGTCCTATTTGGGAATTCTTGGAAAACACTTTGGTATTGCTGGGTTTCAAGATATCGTAGTTGAAGCAGGCATTGTTGCAGTAGCCTCCATCAACGGTGTAATAAGTGGAAAGCACTACAACCGGGCTATGCAGGCTCACAAACTGATGTTCAAACCCCCCGAAAGGCTGAGATTCAAAGCTTTTGTAGATTCTCTTGCAGAAGAGGAAGGGGAATGTGTTACATCTTTGATCAAGAGGCTTCAAGACAGTTTTCACTCCCAAACTGATTTCGCAGACGTATTGGGCTCAGAATGCGTGGATGAACTTGCTGTGAAATACGATTAATTTATTACCCATGAGATTGAAAACCTCCCAAGCATTGCTTTATGGAGCTCTTATCTATCGATGGTAGGAAACTTGCTATCATTCCTTCGAACAACACGGACATCCGATTGGCTACTTCATCTGGATGCTGTCCGTCTCATGATTCCATGGTTCTTTGCGTACGACAGAATAAACTACTCAAGGTAGGTATAAAAGAGTGTATGGAAGGACAGTGGACTGTACAACGACAAGCACAGCACTCTTTTGCGTCAATTGCTTGCGATCAGGCGATAGAGCAAACTGTAAACAGAGATACTAAATCTACCAGAGGTCTTCGTGGCATTTCACTAAATCGGGGTTGGTTTTGTTACATTTTAACATATTTTTAAATTGAATGTAATTGGTATTATTTGTATATATTTTCAGCGTTATGTAACAGTTGCACTAATATTGTACAAATTATTTTTATTATCATAGGAGCTGTAAGACGATGGCTATTAGCACAACCTGACAGAGCAGCAATCAGCCAAAAGTGTCAAGAAATGGCTAGCATCAGTTCTAACACCAGAATGCCAAAGACTTTGGATAAAACCCGAAAAGAAGCTGACGAGCAGTCGGTACAAAACATTCTTTCCCCCATTGACAGCATGATCAATCCTTTTACCCATGACTCGGAAGAACTTGTTTCTTTAAGTTCAGGCTTGGTTGCTTCAACTGATGTAAAATCGGACTTGCTAAAAGCCGAAAACAGGGGAGAAGAAGCAGCTGTTAGGTAACTGTTTGTTTTGTATCTTGGCTGAAATTTATACTAATTAGAGTTTAGGAATTCCCCATGTGGTTGGCATTTACCAGTTATATATAAGCATGGATCTCTTGGAAATTTTGAATGTACATGTAAGTTATCTAATATGCATTTGATAATGGCTTTTCTATCCACAGCTACATGAAAGAGTGTGTGATTGACAAGGATAAAACGATATTCGATACATTGAAGGGAATGAAGCTCAAAAACTTTGGAGATGTTCAGAAGAGACCCAGCAAATCATCCAAGCTTAACTTGTTGAAACATGACAAGAATATGTTCTCTCGGCTTCTTGTTGCTATCAAGTCGAGAAATATAAACCTGCAAGAAGTGCTTAAATTCAGCCTTGGTTCTATTTCGTATTCACTTGCAAGTGCTGATGGTAGCTTGGCGAAAACTGACAAGGCAGTGTTGTTGAAGTGATTGAGCAAGAGGTGCCTAACAATCGCCACATAATAGAAGCTCCACCTCAAGGCTCGGCACTGATGATAGATGGTATGGCTGTTCTGCAATGTTTGAAGGTGGCCAAAATTCCACCCACATTTAAAGAGTTGGCACAGATGATCCTTGAAATGATTGTGAAGATAATGTTGTTATACAAAAGCAACAGAGTAGATTTCGTCACAGATAGATATTCTGATCTTAGTATCAAGAACTGTGAGAGAAATAGAAGAGCAGCAGCTGGATATCAGCGCATTGAGATATTCAGTGGTGATCAGAAGACACCTACGCAGTGGAAGAAATTCTTGAATTGTGGTTCAAACAAAGAAGCACTTGTTGAATTCTTGTTCAAGTCCTGGTGCCAAGCAATCCTTTCCATTACCACTCTTGAAGTTCATTTGTTCATGGCGATTTGTGTCATCATTTATGTTTTGGCAACCGGACACTTCCAACAGTACGTCCCATTCCAGAGCTGACCTGCAGTCACGAGGAAGCAGACACACTGTTGCTTCTCCACGCACATCATGCTGCTGTATCTGGATGGTCAGACGTAATTATTAGGAGCCCAGACACAGATGTTGCAATCATCAGCTTGCCAATGCAAGAATCCTGTCAGGCAAACTTATTCTTTGCTACAGGCAATAAAGATCAGGAACGCATTCTTGACATACGCTGCATGGTTGAGCAAGTTGGTCCTACTCTTTGTGCATCATTAATTGGCCTCCATGCCTTCACAGGTTGTGACTCTACCAGTTCCTTTCACGGGAAAGGCAAGCCTACTTTCTTCCATCTTGTGAAGGAAAACGACCGGTATGTAATGGCATTGACGCAATCCTTCAACACCGAGAGAGCTTATCACTCTGTTGGAAGCACTAGTATGTCAACTCTACAAGTCCAACACTGAATCAGTTGACAAGCCAAGGTACCTTCCATTTTGTACCGGCTCGAAAGATGGAGCTTCCTTGCCTCCAACCTCCAACACAAGACGCATTAACACAACATGTGAAAAGGGCCAACTATCAAGCAACTATTTGGAGACACTGTCTCGAAAGCCAGTTGGAAGTGCCATAACCGATTGGTCATGGGTGGACCGCTGACAGTGATGGCTTTCTTCAGTATATCTGGATGACTAAACCAGATGATGTCCCTACAGTCTTCATTTTGCAACTGTAACAAGACGGCATGTGGGAAGAGATGCTCTTGTAAAGCTAAAAAATTGTCTTGCACTGGTTGTTGCAAATGTTTTCAGAATGAAGGAGACTGCTTAAATGGATTAACAATGAATCCCGAGATTGAAAATCATCTAAACGATGAGGACATGTAATGATGAGATTGACATGTAATAGGAATATATAGCTAAATTCAAAGGTTTATAACTTTCGATTGATCAAGATGAACTATGGGGAACTTCTGTTTTGAATCATTTTAGCATAGTACTACATATAACAAGTGAGAAAAGGTTGCCACCATTCAGTTTTAAAAATGTCATTTTCTAGTGGCTTTTTTGGCATCTGCTGATGGCCTATAATGTTATTTGGTCATTTAGATGTAGTTTTACCTGGCTAACCCTGCTTATGATGTCACTAAAATCACCGACAATGAGATAAAAATTAATCCAAGATGGCGGACAGCAAATTATTTTAAGTCAAAATATTTCAAGAAATAATAAAGTTACGCAAAACGGTAAAGGAGATTAACATATAATTTTAAAAGTTCTTTAAAATGAAATAATAAAAAAATATTGCCGTATCCCTTTAAATGCACACATTCGAACAAAAAATGGCATACGTCATATAGAACTTACTGTAACACTGAGTGCAGTAAAATCGTGTACCTGTAATAGAAAATGTTACTTTTGTATCTTCATGGAATATTTATTATTATAACGCTTTCTTGTCCTTGTTCCTCATTTAAAAATACATTTTATCTGGCTTTTTTGCGCAGACACCGTTTATATTACCTTGCGAATACTATTATCAGCCTTCTTTGCCCACAGTGACGGAGAGTCCGCTAGCCGAGGACAAACATTTCCTATACAACGCAGAATAGTTTACATTTAAAATTTATAGACTTTCCCTCATCGACCAGGGAAGACCGATGACGATGATAGTTTGTATTCGCAGGCTACACTTCTGTTGACAGCTACTGATTTTTTTTTAAAAACATCTTTTATAAGTACAACCACTTCGACGTGCACTGTCACCCAGTGTTAGTGCGAATGAGTCGTGTTTTTTTATCTGTAGATGATCAATGTAAGGAAAAGTCTACAGAAGAGAAAAAAAGAAGAAAAGTGTATTCTGGGGAGATCTGATGTTAGATCCTGTAGCAGTGGAACTGTGTCCAGAACAAATAGGAAGTGGTGCTACGTTCTGTGAATCCGGAAAAGTTGTTAGGGATGTAGCATGCAAAGAATTCATGGTTTCTATCACGCCAAAGCATAAGATTAGGTTAATTAGGATTAGGAAAAAAAATTGAAATTGATGGAGCAGTAATAAACATTCATAATGCTAGAGAGTTATTGGATACGCATGAGTTTAAGACTATTTCGTGGTCAACACGTATAAAAATCATGCATGGGGTCACATCCAGACTTTCATTTCTGCATGCCAAAAACATTGTTCATTGTGATTTAAAGGCTGCAAATGTCTTCGTCGGCGACAATGGAGATGATGGTTTGTTGGTCAAACTTGGTGACTTTGGGACAACATTGTTTGATTTTGCACAATTCTCAGTTTCAGTAATGCCAGCTGCAACAAACACCGATAACTCTGTTATGGGCAAATTCATGGCCCACCTCTGTTTGATTGGAATTTCCCAGATGGCAATTGCCAGGAGCTTCTAATTGATTCACCCTGCAACACCATATGTGCTGCTCGCTTGTTTCAAAGTGCTATTTTTAGGAAATCTTCTCTATGCAGCTGAACAAAAGCAAGATGAAAACATTTTGAAGCACATTTGTGACCGTGATTCTGGGGCGGATCTAGGGTAAGTCCAATCAGTCGTGTGACTGACGTATTTTTTGCAAAGAAATTATTAATTTATTATTTCGAAATTTGAATAATTAATTCCCGAATATAATATGAAATTCATATCATAGTCCAGTATACGTCTTTACGAGCTCAGTTTTGAATAAATATATGCTTTATCAAGAGCAGCGGTAAAACGCAAGAATCTCGCAGAATCGGGTGGTCGTTATGCTCATTTGATTGGTCGAGAGGTCATTTGGACTTATCTCGACTGATCTGTGGGGTGGCCGGACTGATTTGCACTTTAAGGGAGTCTTTGTCAGTCCATTTCGTTCCTTTGATTGGTCAATTTGAAAATATTGTGGGGTGGTCGGACTGATTTGCAACTTAAGGGAGTTTTTATGGGGTGGTCCGACTGATTTGCACTTTAAGGGAGTTTTTATCAGTCCATATCTTTCATTTTGATTGGTCAATTTGAAATTATTGACAATTCCTATTGGTTCATTTTTTTGGACTGATTCGGACTTATTCGCGGTAGGGGATATCAGTCCTTGAAAATTGCGAAATTCATGCAAAGCAGTCTTTCATATTCCCGTATATGAAGGTTTTTCATAGTTGGGACAATTATTTTACGATGTTGATTATTTATATGTGCGCGGCCGATTTTACGAGAGGATTTAACGGCCTTTAATAAACTTGAATTGTCTCTGAATGAGGATTATTGTGGGGCAGCTAAGATATCAAGCGAGCAGCTTTTATAATGTTGTTCTGTTCAACAACGAGAAGGCACTAAGTTGGGACTTTTCTGCTACGTGCTTCACAAAGATCATGGTCGTAATTTGGGTGGTAAAGTCAAAGGAAAGTGTACACTGCTATAATGTATGAAAATATCCAAAATTATGAAACAGAAATCAAATGACTATATTGCAATGTTATTGTATCTTGTATGATAAATGCGAAGTTGAAATATAACACGCTTTAATACATTTTTACACGCAATCGACTTGCAACTTATAATGCGCTTTCGGGCCTTATAGCTTTCCTGCTGTATTTATAATTTATAAATGCATTGCCATTATAAAAAGGGCCAGAATAGAGCATTGCCATTGGAGTGTTAAAACAATATAATTTGGATGATTTGCATTGCATGAAAGATTTGCGATGAATATCGTTATAATATACAAGTGATATTTATAGCATATTGTAATTCATTGAATAAAAAATGCATTTTACAAAGTATAATTGAAATATTACTCTTTCTTTTGCTTGAGAATTTTGATTCACAAACAGCGAGTTATATTGGATCAGTCATTGGTATCATATCACTTCAATTTGCAAAGGATTTCATGAGCCAAACTCAAAGGCTATTGAAAGTTGAAACTACATGATGTGTTTTGTAATATGACCCTCCGTTAGTAAATCTAATTCCGAGGACTGGGAGAAGGCACGTTTGTGAGATCATAAAAAAAGCATTTGCTTGATGTACTTTATAATCTTTGGATTTCTGTAAAATCTCA